TTATGTGGTTCTGTCCCTACGATTGTTTTCAAAGTTCGGCAAGCACCTCTATTTTTGCTGCAGAATGCAAAAATTAAAAATAAACAACACCAAACCTATGACTACCTCAGTAGGTTCCCTTTGTTGGTGGTCCACAAGGCATTTTGATTGCAAGTGTGAGTTCTGTTTTTTTCCTCCTCTAATCTCTTATTTGCATGTCAGCTAAAATCCAAAGTTTCTCAGGCTTCATCTATTTATTTGACTCGAAAGAAACAACATAATAAAAATAACTAAGGCACGAATGGCTGATCTTCAATAGCAGGCAGAGGGTCACAGATTCAAAAGTATGGTAGAATGTAAATCCCCAAAAATATTTCTGGTCTTGGGGCACTGGAAATTCTTACCAGCTTTCACAAAAGATTTTTCAACCTTTTTTTTTTTTTTTTAAACAAAGATACGGGAAATACTTTTCCCAAGAACGTCCATGAACACTAAACGGGGATGGATGCACACACACAGACACACACTTTATGTACAATACAGAGTGAACATACTGCAGACAGACAAGGACCATGGAATGCAGTGATCGTCTAAGGTGGCAGGTGAAATGAAGGTGGCTGTTTTTCAGAGGGTCGTCATGAGTTTATCTTGGTACAGCATGCTTTGGACTCCTCCTAAATTCTTCTGGTTCTGTTCCTGGATATACCGTATATTGTTGTCCTCTCCACTTGTGGGGGGTTTCCAATATGGCCTGTCATCGTGATAGGGTGGCCTGTACCGTTTGCACAGTTATTGGTTAGTGAGAGATGGAAGCAAACTTACGAGAGCTACACAGCAACATGAGTTCAGCGGGCAAGGGCTCAGCGTGCACCCAGGGTGATGGGCAGTGGTAGGGGAAGGCAATGGTGACAAAGCGTTATACACCCAAAGCAGAAGCCACGGAAGCAACCAGGAATCTCTTAGGCGATTGCAAAAGGCTTTGAATCAGAGCTCAGTCATTAAAAACCTTCCCTGTTTTCAAGTGTTATCAACAAGTGTTGCGCATCAATGCTTCTCAATCCCAGAGGGGCGATGGTGGGGGGGAAGGAGGAGGGTATAGGGAAACTAAATGCGTACAACAAAGCCTCTCAAGCAAAAAGCTGAGCTCATGAAAATATAACCTTAAGGTCTAAAAAATTAAGAAAGGCAATCCTATTAGGAATGAAAACTGCTCTTCTGTAAATATTGCCATTCGCTCAACACTGGTGCAGTTAATTACCCTGGAGAGGTCTGTAAGTTACACCACTGCATTTTGTTAAGGTGGACACCTAGAATGTGTGGTTAGTACATGTGCTTCTCTGTGACTAAATAGTGAAACTTGCAAAATTACTACGAGGAAAAATATTTTTTCCTTACTTGTTCATTACTTATTGCTGCTTAGAGACATCAACCTCAACCACTCCTACTGCGCCTCCTGAATCATTGGGAGGGAGGGAGGGATAAATAAATAACTAGAACTTTGAAGGGTATGTAGCAAACCACAATATTTAAGACTCCCTTATCACCAACCTGAAATTGCACTTCTTATTTTAGTAATTTTTTTCCGCTAGCAGAAATACAGGCGGGTTTAGATATAATTTCACTGAAAGGATTTCACTGAGAAAACTGAGACAAAATTGCGCATATGTCAGAAATTATTCACCAAAACCCCTGTATATAACATGTGTTGCACAGACAGTTTCATTCCAGCCCTTGGCCCATTCTAGACTTGCATGCCCAGCGAAAAGAATTTCATGCATCTGTGGTCTGATCTCAAGTTCATAGTCAGGCAGATTAAGCCTTGTCAAATCAAGCTATCCAAGACATGAAACCTCCTAACCTGGAGTCAAAGTAGAAGAGTTGAATAACTTGAAGTTTCCACTTTAACCACACATTTAGACGCTTCTACCTGACTGAGGCAAAAATTCTGAACATCTTTTCTACCGAGCTTGCACAACTGAGCTTTTAAGTATGTTTTTTAGCCTTACAAGCCTTGGTTATAAAAAAAGCCATTGTTCATATTTCACTGACCTTAATCTTCACCCAGGCAGCAGAGAGGCTGAAGGGGGAGGTTGTCTACACACATTACAATACATTATTGTGCTTATTTCAATATCACTCTACTCCAGGGTGAACTATTTGGCTTTAAAATGTTACAGACTAGTATACCAAGCAAAGAAATCTTTAGAAAAATTTCAGCAAAACCTCAAATGATTTAGAAAATCATTAACCTCTCTCAGCAATCACTCTTTTGTAATGGGAAATGGCACACTTTAAATCATGCACAATTAAATGGACAAGTAAACCCTAAAAACGGGAAGAAGCTTGAGTATGATGTACAGGCAAAATTAATTACCCAATTTAAAGCCTTCTGTTTCTAGCATAAATTTAGTATCTGTTTTACTGCTGTATGCTAGGAAATTTGAGATGACAACGAGTATGTCTGGTTCTCTACCTAGTATGTGTTTCTAAGAACATGTTTGACTTTTTCTTGCATTCTCAGACTCAAACTTGGACCAAATCATCCATTTTAAAGCTCATGCTCATCTCCAGAGCCTGCCTACGTGAGGAAGGAAGGCTACCTATCCTGATATAATACAGAGATAAGAATGTAAGGTGAATAAGAATGAAGATTAGGGTATTGGTATTTTTCAGTCAAGGCAGTAATTATTTGTCTAAAAACCAGTAACCAAAATAGGTTGTATTTTTAGCATAAAATAGCAGCTAATTTTTATCACGTGTGCATGCACAGTCACACATCCACCAGCAGGTGCGTACCTCCGGCGTGCATTCCACCAAGCTGGTTCTAACTTGAACTGAATTTCTTTCAAAATTTCCTTTCTCTCAGCCTCCCTTGCTACGAGTTACAAAAGTATGAGAGAAGATAGCACAATAACACATACAGGAATATTTTTGTGAAACAGTTCACAGATAATTAGCGTTAGTAAAATTATAACATTGAGTTTTTGAGAAGTGCCAGATACATTGTTCCATGTACATGCTATTTGTCCACACACATTTCTGTAAAAGATGAAAAAAATGTTGCAACGCAAGAATCTCTTCACTCACAACTTAACTTTACTCTAAAATGAGTTTCTCCTCTGTCTTAAGAGATTAAAGACCAATCAATTTGCAATTAGTTTTACTGAAGCTCCTGAGTATCTCCTCATCCAACCAACATATTCCCTATAGAAATACACTAAAAATTGTATTTCAAATTCTGAACTAAAAGTAAAGAATTCATCAAGGAAATTAGGACACTCCAAAGCAAAAATCTAAATAGAAATTACTTAATGCTTCCTCTACATGACATATTTCTAACTTCTCATGTGCAGAAAATTGCCCGATGCGCCCACCAATGCTTCAAGCCAACAGATTGAGATAAAGAAAGCAGTAACAATTTTTTTTTAAAAGATGAGGACAGCTTACCTTACATTCACAGGTGTATGTGGATGCCAGTGTGGCTGAGCAGGATGTATATTAGGATGATACTGTGGCTGCAAGAGAAAACATCAAAACTGGTTAATGAAATCATATAAAACCTCCCTATTAACTTTATTTTCCTCAGGCAATGAGGAACATGTTTCCTCAGAGCAATAGAAAACCCAACCGTTTCAGGCCTTTTCCCATGTCACTGAGCATATACACGAGACCTCTTGGTGACGAGCTTGCTTGTTAGGACACACTCATGGGAAAATGCAAAGAAAATTGCCTTTCTGTTTGAGAGACAACCTGGCACATCAGTGCTTCTCATAGAAAGCAGCGCATCAAATGAATGTCAGCTTTAATCAAAGGTGGAGAGTGAGAACGGTTACTGCTATAATAGCAGTCTTCAGAAGGTCACCCCTGTATGGTGACAGCATCTCTCTCTCACATCCATGAGATCTTGAGGAGAGTGAAACAAGTTTACTGGTGAGACCTTTAATAAAAACAAGTGTTATAAGTTCTCACACACAGACTCAGTTTGGGTGAAAGCACAGCTTGCTTTCTCAGTAGCACCAACTGCTAGTATCACAGCTGAAAACCAGGTAAAGTTTTCTCCTGAAGCGTATGAAGCAGCTTGTTTAAAAAAAATAACCAAAAAGTATTTGCTCAGCAAAGTACTCCTTCAGTGTTGTGATAGGGGAAACAATTCCAACTTTGAACTTGTTGTCAGGGACCATCCAACATGAGAGGCTGCTCTACGACAAAAGCTTGCTCACAGAGCAGTCTCCCCAAGTCTTTAACCAGTGAGTTCACAGAAAAGGAAGTGAAAGAGGGTGGCACATGGACTGTATTCAGCTTGGAGCATCCAAGAACACACCTTTTCCTTAACACCCAATGTTCTGCTGTTTATTTCTGAACCACCTCAGAGAATCACACCTCAGGGTAATGAAAGGGGAGCGAAACAGCTGTACTAACTACAGAGAGCAAAAACATGTACCACTAAATAAGAAAATGACAATATTGAATATTCTCCTCAACAATTATTATGCTCTCACCTGGTAGTTATGGACTTCAGGAGTATTTTTAGCACTAAGGAAGAAAAAGAAAAAAACAGCTTAATCAATATATCTATGTCACAATTTCCTATAGTTCAGGGTTCTACAGGGAAGTCAAAATCATATTCTTAAGAACATCAGTATTTTATTCAAGATATACACCAAACAATTAGAGTGCAAGGAAGAGGAGTGCAATTTTTTTTTCTTCATTTTACATTCATGAAATAGGACTAAATAATGCCATATAAGCTACCATAATAGTAACGAGCAGAAAGGAAGTATGTTTTTCTTTCCTTTCTGTTTCTGATATCAGACTAAAGAAAAAATAAAAGTAGCAAAGTATCTTAGGCAGTCCCCAAGAAGAATCTGGTGCTGCATAATGAGAGATCCCATTTTCAATTCATCCCACACCAGAGAATTTATTTGGACAAATCCTAATGCAGAAATGGTCTTCAGAATCCTTTTTGCCTGACAACAGCAATTGAGAGGCAGAGAGAACTTGGGCAGTCACTTACCACAGTTGTGCTGCTTTCACAGGATTGTTTGCTAAAAAAGAAACAGACAAAAAGCCTTAAGACAGATTAAAAAAAAGCTTAACACATGAAATATCAGTCATTTTGCAACTATTGTGATTGGGACGTGACACTACAGCTTAAGTAAATTCTCATACAAATGTATTTGAACAAATGCATCAGAACCCCAAGTGCAGCCCTGTGCTTTCTAGCATTCCCATGCAGGAACATGAAGTATGAGGCAGACACGAACCTCCCTACGCTTCTGCAAGAGTCAGAGCCCAAAGATGGCAGCAGACAAGAATATTATTCTCAAATGTAATGAAAGAACCACCTTTGGTATAATAAGTTCTGCACGATCAGAACATTTCTTTTCTCACCTTGCTACCGTGTAAATACAATCAAGTCCCTTGGAAACCAGAAGCCACCCTTCACAGAAATTTTGCATCTCACAGAAACCGAAGCATTTCTGAAGCTGGCAGTGGCCTGTGTCATATTACAGTGAATGACAGTAGCCGAAAAAGCCCATGAGTTGTGAATATGGGAAGGCACAGAGCAATCTTGAGCAACAAGACCTTAGTTTGTGCCCTGGACATGGTGGAAGCCAGTTGAGCAACTGGAATATATAATTTTTTTCTCCTGACAAACAGCATATTTTTCAAGAGTTCTAAAACTGCTGAGTGATACAGCTCAAAATCCAAGCAGAGAAAGTAGATGACAAATTCAATGTGACACTGTAGGAGTCTCAAAGAGACTGGGCCAGGACAGAATCAAACGCTTGTGGGCTGCAACTAGGTACAGGTCTTAATGGTCAAGAGATGCGTGAAAGACAATAATCTAAATGGAGTCTTTCCATTAACGTAACAAACATGCTGTTGACATCTCTGGAGGGAGATCATCTGGATATGACAGAAGTTCTGCCTGGCTGCTATGCATACGTAACCAAACCGAGCATAAGCCACGCTGCTCTCTTCTCCCCCACCTCACAGACATAAGCACGGAAGCGCTAAACCACAAGGTATAACCTGCGGGTCTGACAGATCCTGTTATCATAAAAATAAAATGAAAATAACACTTTTTTTTCCCCTTATAAAATTCTCCATACTCACCATATAATTAACTCACATAAGTCTCTCACAAATTTAGTATGTTCACATTTCTGTAAAAAACTGACATGTTTGGGGGGTGAGGGTGTTACAGCTTGCAGAAAGTGTGCACACTCACTGCCCTTTCCTCCTCACTGTACCTGAGAAATCAAAGTGCCCCCATAACACCACAAGGACTCTTCATGAAACTGAGGTTCATATTCTAGGAACACAAAGGAGTACCAAGATGTTCTAGGGGAACATCAGTTTCCCCTGCTCCATACAGAACTACACCTGCAGCCTCAAGTAATACAGAAGTTAGAAGGTGTTAGGAAGGAGCACTGCAAGACCCTCTAAGTTTTTCTATAAGGAGTAAAATTCTCAGCTTGAGTTTTGAAGAACAAATGACAAAATTCCATTCAAATTCGGCACAGTTCAACTCCCAGAGAAAGCTAGTTTAGGTCAGGATGTAGGAAGATGAGTAACAACACGTCACTGCAGTCAGGAAAGCAGCAGCAACTGCATAATGAGACTACTCAATAACCCTAAAATTGTCGTTAGATAAGTCGGCGACACTCTTAGACATTGCTCCATTCTACATGACAAATGAACCTCAAAGAAAATGTTATACACGTTCCCTTATGGAGTTTGATGCAACTTTTCTTTCCTCCTCAACAGAGCAACAGAAGAAATCACAGGTATCTCCTTCTGCATACATGGAGGATGGAAGAACTAAGTGTAGACAGAGATTCAATTTGGTAGATATGAACAACAGACTGACTTTGGAGGAAAAACAACATACATTAACATTCTGATTTTTTAGCAGGTTTAACATCGTTTTCTTTTTATAACAGATTATACAGTTGTGATATGACATTTATGTGAGTTACCAAGACACCTGCATGATTAGTTCAGTCAACACACATGCAAACACTTACCTTTAAAAGTTGAATGCCTTCGGGAAGGGTATCGCTTGCTGGGCCTTCTTTCAAATGTACTAGTTCTCCGTAATCTTGTCCCGTGCGTTGCTTGATACTCTGTCCGCCCACTTAAAACACAGAAATAACCAAATTAACTATCACCTTTTGCTGGATGCTGTACCTGCTCCTTTGGATAAGCACAAATATATTACTGTTGCTTTGCTAAATACCTGAATCTGAAGCGTGATCCCAGCCTTATGAAGTCGGATCTACTAGATTTACTATTTGCTGGGGCTCGCAATCTGAAGAAAGCGTGGTGCTCCACTGCACACTTCCACAAATGTTTGCACGTTTTGGCACTGTCTAACCGGAAAACAAATGTGTGCTCTTGCTCTCTGCCCTAAATGCAGAAACAAAAGCTTTGGAAGTTGGCATGCATGATATCACTGTCCTCAGGAGGAAAAATACAGCCTGGGCCAACAGTGTGCTGAGCCTCCCTTGTGTTCTTACCAGCCTGAGCACAAACATCACACGTCGTTGGATCAGGCCCAAGTAAGGGAAGAAAGTTACCTGTTCGTCATCTTCTACAACCACGAGCGTTAGTTTGCTCTTCTTAAAGTCCATTTTTGTGATTTTAGGCCTAAACACAAGAAGCAGAAAGAAAATCAGTGGAAAAAATGGCATTTAGTAACCCAGAACCATCCCCCAAAATGCATGGGGTACTGCAATCACGCTTCAGGAAGTAATAAAAGTATGATTTCCTGGCAACGTGACTATTTGAAATGTGAAATATTTGTTGAAAGAGTGGTATTTCTAAACCAGGCCAATTTACCTTCAGATTTAACCTTGATATTCTAACCTTGTAGATTTGATCTACATTACACAATACAGTAAAGATCCAATTATGCAAAGGAGAAAGATTTCAGCATTTTAACAGAAAGGAATAGAACACCAAAACAGATTACCAAAAGAATAAGCCTATTTTGTTGGCTCCTTCAAAGATCAATATGCCTGTTGGTGTCAGTCCAAGAGCATATTCACAACCATCTCTTCCCTGCAAGCAAATACAGAATCAATAATCTATATGCCATTAGCAGTGTAAACCTTACTACAGTGGTACCTCCACACTCATAGGTTTTAAACAAAACAACAGAGCTTGCGTATTTTATTAACATTACAGAGTGGGAAAATACGCATCTGCATTGGGTGCAAAATGACAGGTTTTGGCAACCGGAGGCTGCAGTGGCCTTGTGTGGGAGGGGGTCAGGTGCTGCCCCAGATGGCTTCTGACACCCGTCGAAACAGCCCCACACCAACACTAGAGCCAGGGGAAGCCCACCTCTCAGTTCTCCTGCATTTAAGGGCAAGCAGTAGCTGCCCGGGGAAGGAGGCACGAAAGGAAAAAAAGAATTGAGGGACATGGGATAAAACCTGTGGAAAGGGACATTGCGGGGCACATGGCTAGAGATGCTCTCTTGGGAGAAGATCTGCAGGAGGAAGGTACTTCTGAGGGACCGTGGGGTAACACCACAACAAGCACACCCCTTAGGAACACACCCACACCAGGGCAGGGACCCTACAGTAATAAAAGAGAGGATCACATAGATCTTACCTTAACTACATGCATATCTACACCATACATTTCTAGCCATTTAGCTTTGTTCAAGTAGCACAATTCAGCCTGCGCTGGGCTCTTTCCCCTAAAAACAAAATTTATTTATACTTCACAGTATGACATTTTTGTACTTTTTAAGTGTTTTAAAATTTGTTCCTCTAACCCTTTTCTTTGGGCCCTCAATCTTAACCAGTATTTTAAGCTTAGCTTATGTTTTCGCTCTCTTCCCTTCAAATAAAAATAAATAGGAGGGACAAAAATCAAAAACTGTCTAAAATTCCTAATAAGGATGAAAGTTCAGGCAAGACAGCATCACTGAAATGTACCATATTTATGAGCAAAAGACAGGAAAAAGAGTTTGTTACTACTCTGCATACAAAACTTTATGTACATGTGTGAAAGGAGAGAAAGAGAACTATTTCCAACATAAACATGAAAATGATCTGACTGCTTAAATTGTTATGAAATCACCTACAGAAAAAGTAATAAAAACAACTCATAAAAACTCACCCCCCAAACCTTTCCTAAATTACCACTTGCCATTTCTAGTCAAGGGAAGAGCTTGAAGTCTAAGTTAAATACTTCTCAGCTGACAAACTTAAATCACTGTTTCACATCTGTTGAAGGGATTCTTGTGGACATATTTGGTTTTGGAAGAGAAGACCTCCTGTTGATAGAGACACCACTCCCACACAGGTACCCTACCTGCACATGAAAAATATCAAATTCCATTGCTTCGGTCTGGTTTGGTGCAAACCTGAATTCAGACACAAGTTCTGGTGTGTGCTCTGGGTGCTCACACTCTCCCAGCTCAGCTGCAATCAATTAATGGAAAAGTTAAAAACAAAGGTCATGGGATGAAAAAAACAATTTATTTCCATAATCTCCACAAAGACAATAGTAAGTTTGTAAGTTTCTAAGTATATTGCACCAGAATGCTTGTGCCAATGTTGTAAGTTAACCCTGCCCCACAAATGCCAACTACATTTTACAGCAGAGGCCAAAGGCGTCTGCAGAAGCAGTGTAAGGTCATGGTACAGAATTCTGATATTCAAAAGCGTTAGAATTAAAACAGCTTAACTAAAGCTGTTTCTCGGGATTTTAAAGCATTTAAAGGAAATAAAATTTCTGTGAAATCCAAAAATCAATGCACTACTGTTTCAGAAGAGGTAATTTTTAAACTTCCTATCACTGCAATGAGGTCACACTTTTCATTCCAAACCACTTCCCATTCTATTGCATCCTTTGTTACATTACTGTTCTTGTCAAGACATGAAGATAATACCTAGTCTCAAGAAAACAGTGACTAAGTTGTTTGGTTTTGTTTTAAAACGCAGTGGCAGTGTAATATTCAGATCAACTAATTATTAAGGAAAGAAATGCTGAAGCATTAACATAATTGAGGTGTGACTTTCCACTTACTTGCTCAGGGCCCTGGTATCTTCTTTTCTATGAGCAGAAGACTTGCAAATTTTACTGAGCTCAGCAGAAGATGCACGTGCTGAGCATCTCAGTGACTGACGCCCTTAACTGTCTCAGGCCTGTGACCTGCTTTGCTCCCAGAACCTCTCAGCTCCATGGAGAGGCTGCAGTGTCACTGTCTGGGGACTGAGATAAATATCAACGGCAAATACACCGTGCAGCAATACCCTGTGTCACCTGACATATGATGGGAGTCTGAACCAGGTCTTGGTCAGTCTGTTTCTTGACTACTACTCCTATCCTATTAGTAGTAATACAAAAAAAAAGAAAAAAAATAATTCCTCAAAGTAAACAGTTTTATTGCTTCAGGCAGTTTTACACATAATGGCTGCAAAAATTTAATTCACTCTTAGTCTTCAAAAATACCTAGCAGGACACGTTAGAACATAGGAAGTCACACACAAAATGCAATCTGTTGGCTGATACACCTACTAGGTGACTCTGAGCACTTGAGCTTCTTTGCTTAAACATTCAGTGTCTCTGAGGGTATTAAACAAAAGATTGAGTTCACTGATCTTCATTTCCAGCTACTGCCTCACACACTTTTTTTCGTTTCAACAGTAATCTTCCATGGTGAGTTACAGTATTCTTTATGTCTTTTTCTTTAACAGAGATATCTTAGTTCTTCTGCTGTTTCATTTAAGTTGGAAGCCTATTTAATGCAGATGTTGCTAAGAATTACTGGCATTCCAGCCTTTAGTATATAGGAAGCCACAAACACATCAGCAAGGAGGACTTCAGGGGAAAGAAAAGAAACTGAAGTCTGATGTGTTGACAGCCATCTAGGAAAAGCAATTTCTCTCCAGTTAACAGTGAAGGTGGGGTATGAAGGCTGACTCTGCCATAAAGAGGATGTGTAAGGATGAGAAGAATCATGAGCATGTAGGACAAAAGATAACACAGAGAAGCTAGGGCGTAAGTGTTAGGGACAAGAAAAATATCACCCTTGTTTCTCAATCGCTGCACTCCATGTTTATCCACTCTCACGCAAACAAACTACGTCATCATTTTGACCTCTAAGAAACAGGCTTTGAGAATAAGAGCCAGGAAGACTCTCAGCAGCTCCCCCACAGGCTAGGACAGAAGAAGGGGAAGTGTGAGCTCCGCAGAGGATGCTTTCACTAGCGTATCTCCTGGTGGAACTACATTCGCTGAATGGTTCACAAGCAAGCACCAATGCTTTTCAACACAAGAGCACAGCAGAGGACCCACCTCTTCATTTGTGCTTTTGTGACAACATATCGTGGCATGCTCCTCCTCTAATTTTTTTATTTGGAGTGGTGAAGGTGTTACACAACACATTAAAAAATCATGGGTAATGTACGTAAATAAGTAACAGCATAAACTGGGGGAGATTTTTAAGTTTCCTGGAAAGTTTTTGAAAACTGTGAAAAAATGCTTATCTGTAAGTATATTGTTGACTCTTTTATACAGAAGGAAAAAAAAACCTTGCACTATCCCATGAAAACGTTTTACAATTAGAACTGAAAACTGGAGACCCGAGAAGCTCTCCTTTTGAGTTTAATTAGTACTTACAAAAGTTAAATACGAAAGCTGTGCAAGACTAAGGAAGTACTTAAAAACTCAAGTTTGATTACAACCTTTCTGTAGGTAAGCCCTAAGCAAAGCACACTATTAGGTATCTGCTTCACAGGTTACCTCATACTGCAAATCCATGTTATTTGTGACAAAAGTTCCTTCATGTGACTGGCAACAAACCAACCATTTACGTTTTGAAAGATTATTCACACAAAACACCAGCCTTGGAAACTGCTGTTTGAAAGAATTAAAGAATTACTCTAACAAAAATACTTCACTGATGAAAATGCATGAAGTTTAGAGCTATCCTGTGAAAAGGTTTTTCTTTCAGAAGGCTTAGAGTATTAACCCCTAGAAAGCCATTCATATAGTGGGGAAAGCCCCACTAAGTAGCAAGATCAAATTTTACAGAGTAAACGTAACCTGCTGAGGAGGGAATAATCATTTTACATTTGTTTAAACTCTTCTGCTTAATTAATCTTCCAATGTTAATAAAATCTAACAAATGTTACAATACAAAATGCTAATTAAAGTGTCTGTAGGCAGAGAAAATAAATTACTTGGAATAATAAAATAACTTTGGAGAAACTTATTATGATGATGTCAGAATAGCAGAAAACTGAAACTGAAAAAAAAAAGCAGAAAAGGATAGAAGTATATTCCCACAGACATGTCACAGAGTGTTAGTTTTGGTACCCAGTTGGAAACATTATAAACAGAATGGACGGCTATCGTACTACATTTACACAGTAATCACAGGTGTCAGTTACTACCCAAAATGTTGAGGCATCAACCTATTATTCTTTGCTTGGTTCTCCTTGCTTAGACCAGGGGTGAGAGGTTACCGGTGCTTTTATCTGCGAAAATGGAAGCAATGAATCAAATATGGGCTCCAGACCTTCTCCATCTCAAAAAGACAAACAGAGTTTGCCTGCAGCCATCCTCTGCACACCTAACAACCAGAGCTGCGTCAGGCTAGTGTAGAAAAATAACCCACTGCCTTAAGATTTACACCTGCGGCTGTCTGGAACTGAATTCCCAGTTTTGTCTGCCAAGACCATCTAGAATAACTGAGTTATTTCAATTGCTGTATTAAACCAAGTAACTCTGCCTAAGCATTCCACATACTGTTGCCAACCACCAGTGCAGCAGGAAGAATGTTTATCGTTTGGATTTATTTTGCTGCTGATAAACCTAAAATGGTCCAAGCTCACTGCTTTTTCTTTAAAAGAAACAAAAAAAACCCTTGATTTGAGCTTCATTACATAAGTTTCCCATCTGTAAAACAAACCTCCAGAAAGTGAATCAATACTTGTATTGAAGTGTTCACAGCAATCAAAACACCCCAAACTTTTTCCTACAGTAAACTAATGAAACCTAGTGTCCTAGGAATTTTTTTAAATCTTGTGACCCTTGCTTGTGACACAGAAATTATCTTAGTTCTTACGTGTCTATTTAATTCTCTTCTCTCTAGTACCTGCCACCATCTCCTGTGTGACACCCTGTGGAAGCTCGCCCTCCCAGGCCCTAGCCCAGCAGCTGGAAGCCCATGTTCAAAGCTATTCCCACAGGGAGCCGTCGCTGCAAAGCACGTGCTGAAGGCCCAGCTAGCTCTTCAGGCTGAAGTGGTAACCTCATGCACACACACCACAGCTTCTCCTGTTTGGGGTCTTTCTTCCTCAGAGAGCCCCTGGTTTCCAGGAAACCTTTGTTTGTGCGTGGCCTTTGAGGTTCCTTCCCTTTGGCAAGCGTGCTGACACCAGCTCGTGTAGTTCAGAAATTACGAATGGAAGGAAGGCAGGAAAGTGATCTCCCTAAAATTCTTCTCCTCAGATAAAGGATGACTTTGATATACGATCAATGAGAAAGCACTAGTAACAAAGAGAGAAAAGAAACTAGTAGGTGAGTTTTCTGATATACTAAGACAAACCACTTTCGTAAGACTGCATACCTTGAAGACACAGAGCTGCTAGTTCAACAGCAGTTTCATACGGACATTTCAGCCTTAAAAAAAAATAAAAAACCCACAGGTTACTAAAAAAATCATTTTAGCTTTTTCTCAGTGAATTTCTCTTGCAATAAAGTCAAAAAGTAGTCTAAGAAATGGAAACATTAACTTCCACAAGCCATTAGTGATACAAAACACATACAATTAATTTTTATTTGCAGATGATTATTTCTTAATTTGGCACACTCTAATTAGCACTAAACACATGACATGCTCCACATACAAATAACTTAAACTAATAGAGACAACACTAAATCAACTAAAAAAACATTTTTGGATAAACACTGATTTTTAGAACATATTGTTTTCAGGGTTTTTAGGTTTGTAATTAAAAAAAAATAAAAATAGAGTGGGTGTGATTTTATTGGCCACAAAATATTTTTGCAGAGTTGACCTGTACAACTGTTTCATTTTACCATCTTTTCCTCCTCTATTTTACCTACCATACTAAAAATTATGGCAAGTCCATGTTATGTTTTCAAGTCATAAAATCATGTCAGTCTTTGCTTTCTTTATACATTTCCAACACCTGGTCAATCCATCAAAGGTCTTTACCCATGCTATTTGTCAGTAATATAGTTACGATGAATACAAAGTCATACATCTCTGTATTCTAAAGGAAAAAAGAAAAGCACGTGGAGCTGTAAATCATACCTATAATCTGTGTATGAATACCATAAAGAATTAAACACACAGTTAAAGTAAAATTGTGAATTGCTAGCAGATTAACTACTACTAATACTTCAAGTTTCAGCTGCAAGAGCAAAGAGGTACTTACTTCCCTGAAAGAATGTCTTGTCGGAGCTGTAATACAAACAGGTACCTGACAAATAAAAATTCAGAAAGTCAAAAGTATGATACATGTAATGTCAGCTTCCCAGCCCCAATGGCTCTGTGCCGAAAACCACTTTGTCTTTCTAGCATCCTGTTTTTCATCACAGAGGATGTTCTTTGAACGTGGTGAAGATGAATAGTTGGAATCAGACAGGAAAACAGGAATGAAAAGGAAGATTAAAAAGACTTCTCATGACAGACTAAAGCAGAATCAGATTTGCCCACATTAGCTTTGTGCCACGTCTCTAGTTCACACACCTGGCTAATACCCAACTTGCCAGTCAAAGCTGGGTGTTTGCAGGCATACATTAAGGGTAGACGAGTATATTCCCTGCTCTTATTGTTTTCCTCTGATGATTCACAACCCCATGAACTCTTCCAAATTTGCAAGAAAAATCTGGGCAGTGCTCCTATCAGTGCCAGCCTACCAGTGGAGTGCTGCAGCTCTACGGTGGTGGTTGGTGCGGCTCCCTCTTGCTCCTTTTCGGCACATCAGCATCTCAACTGCTGGCCTTCCAAATCCCAAAAACACCTTAGAAAAATCCACAACACGCACATACACATACACTCCTCTGCTGTTTTTCTAACTAAACTACCTAATTGGGTCCCATGGAAGTGACAGAAGATATCTTCCAAAATGCACTGGATTTCAACTGTGTTTTTAAATTTGAAAAAAAAATAATAATCTCAGAGTAGGTGAAGGGTTTAAACACTTCCCCATTGCTATGCTAACTATGATAATGCTATGTTTACATTTTCACTAGAAACTAGAGTCTACTAGAAATCAGGTCTCCACAAGGCATTTCAAGCACTTGCCCAACCAGGCCAGTTCACGGTTACTGTTAATGATTTTTTTTTTTCCTCCTCTTACTCCCAACATTCCACTTCCACTTGGAATAATTCTGAGTATATAGTTGTTAATCTTCACTTTTTATTCAAAATGCTATATGGAAAAGATGATGCAGCTAGCATAAGGTTCTTAAAAAACCCCAGCAACATTCAAAATTACTTTCCCCAACAAAAAAGAAAAATGCAACTATTTGTTCACTGCAAAGTCAATTTTCAGCTCATTTTCATTTTCCTTCCATAGTTTCACAGTGGTCTTCCATCAAGCTTAAAAAATTGAACAATTAAAAAAAATTGCTCAGAACACTGAAAATTTAGCCGACTAAAGTATTTCTCTAATTAAAACAGACTTCTGAAATGTCACCTTTCAGCACTAATTAGATCACAAAGTAGCAGAGGTTAACACTTTCAGAAGAAATGTCTTACTCGATCACAGGAATGATCACATAGCTCAGAAACGCACATTTCACAGTGACTAGGATCATATGCTTCAGAAAACTGAGCAAGAAATCTTGTGGTAGACAGTAATGGAATAATTTGACCACAGGGGAACTATAATACTTGTCAGACACGTGCCATGATATATGAACACCTACATCAATTTTCAGAATACATATATTATTCTTACTAATTTAACTGCATTTTCTCATTAAAAATGCCAAAAAATCACCCAAGTTTTTGGATTCTCTTAGATCTTATACTCAATTACATAACTGGCAAGGACTTCTATAGGCTAACTATACATTGTATAGGAATATGTCTTTTTACTAAATTAACATTGTTGCAGTAAATTGATAATGGATATTAAAGCCTCCATGTCAGTATCATAAAGTGGTGACAACTAGCTCTTTGATCTTGCCTCAGGCAGTGGAAAAAAAAATATATATGGTCAACACAGCAGATAGGAAAGGAGACAGTAAACATACGCAGATGAAAGTTTAATGTAAACATCACATGCATATGAACTACAACAATCAACAGTCTTTAAACACCTTAGGCTGATTGGGAGTACACTGATTATGTCAAATAAATTAAGACACAGAAAGTGTCCTACGGTGAGATACAGAACAAAAAAACCCCAAGCCAATAAAATAACATTAAGATAGTTGATTGCTATACAAAGAAGACACAAAGTTGCAGACATGAAAGGTAAGCAAATCCTTTTCCTCCAGCTGTTCCTTTACCTGTTTTCCGAATATCCTCTAGATCACACGAGGGTGCTACAAACCCAGCAATGTACACAGATCTCACAGCCCAAAATACAGCCCACCAGACTTACACAGAAGACCTCTAGGTACCCTACGGTGACTTTAAACAGTGCAGTATTTACACCTTTTGCACCACAGAGAACTTGCTAGGGAGTGGAAGAGATTCAATCAACCAACTGTCAACTGAGAACTCAAGTTGCCTCCTCCCACGATTCTGTGGCCTTTGTACCATTAGTAAATCAGCCTCAAGTCTCGGAGCAAGGGGGACAAAGCAGAGCACTGGCATTTTAGCAGGGCACGACGGAAAATCCTCTGAGGTATGGCAGGTGTTGCTGTTGTAAAGAGTAGCTCTCCTCCTCCCAGGGCTGCCTTTCTTTGCTAAGTTCAAAGCACCAGGACACAGCATCTCCTACAGACTAAAACACTTGGAGAGGCCCATGAATGGTTTTAGACAGCAAATACCAAAGATGTTTCTGACAGTAGGAAAATGACCACTCTTACTAAGAGAATGCAAATCACCTGCTTACAGTAATACCCATGTACCTTAGACATCTTATTGACCCCTCTGCCAGTCACCCAGTTCCTACCTTGTAAACTCCTCATGAAGGTTGTTCGGTTCTGATGAATAGTACTTAATTCGAAAATGCAACGTGTACGGAGGTCCAACTGTATATGCAGAGATTTTTAAATGAGGGAAGAAAAAAACCAGTTTATACTAGCTGTGGTCCTGCTAAGGCAGAATGATAGCCACCATCCCACAATCCAATAAACTGAAAATGAAGTAGTTTTTCAAATTCTTCAAAGAATAAAATATTTCACGTTTTTAAATTTATAAAGGCATGCAATAAAAAAAACCAACATACTTGACGTTACTCTAATAATTAGATTAATCAAGCAATAGTCTATTTGGCAAACACTTTTTTGACTGAAGACATGTGCCCCACAGCATGCTGTGAATGACAGCAAGTTCCAGGTACGCTGCCTATCGCTGGGGGCAGGGGGAGATGGAAGGGGGAGAGGGAGGAGGGAGAGGTGGCAAGAGAAATGCTTCTTATTACCAGGCAAAAACGCACCTCCAGGAAAAAAGCCCGCCCAAATAGATCAGCTTTCAATCAATACACATGAATGAGAAAAGGTAAGATGAGTGAAAAGTGCTGGAGAGGACTCTGCAAGGCACCCAGGAACACAGAAAGCTAACAAATTCCATGAAGTGGAGTTGCAAGAATTGTCACTTTCTAATGCCAGAAGGCGACTGTGGCTTGCCATGTAACACAGATAATAAAATATTACCCAGCTATGATGAGACTGTGACCAATGCATCCTTATCTACCTAAGCCTCAACTTGCAGACCAACAGCCTGCTGGTATAATAAGCGCTGGAAAAAAAACCCTCTTTTTCATACCTTTCTAAGGGCTCTGTAACACCACATCAACACTGTATATATGTGCCTACTAATGATCCATTCTACTAAACGACCTGCAGCCCAAACTCCAATAGTTATATCCTTGACGTTGTCTCCAGTGACAGCCCCTAGAAGACAGGTGATAGTACCCTAGGCTGACAGTCCAGCACCACTGCATCAGTGAGATAATGACTTATACCTGCCCACTGCTGGAAAAAAAAAAAAAAAAAAGCAGTGAGCAACATCCATCGTGAAAGAGGAACAATAAAATAGTTGTAATGGAATGCAGAACGCTGCTGAACGCAAGCTAAAGTAAAGTTTCCTGTTGTGAGACAGACCTTTACAATACTCTGAGTGTTTCCTTCTTCCTCTGAGAAGGGCTCGGCCAGTTTAGTTTTAAAACAGGCCCTTCACAGAAAAAACACTGCAAGCAAACTGGATTAAGGTGTTACAGAATTGTTACTCTTCCACATTTTAAGACAGATCAAGAAAAGGAGAAAGCTATCACAAAAAGTGCACCTGCAAATCCCTTAGTTACTTAAGGTAAAGCAGTCTGTGATACGATGAAAAGGTGAGAGAAAGCCAGTCACCAAAACATCACCTGTAGCAGCTATCTTTATCACCTATTCTAGCAGACTGACACCTACACACCATGGGGTGAATGCAAACATTCCTGAAGGTCTTTGAAGAACTCCTCCACCATTTACAGTAAAACACCTACATATCTGGATATTAATCAGAAAGAATGGCAAAACACCACTGAAGCAACTGAGATCCATCTCTAAGGTCCCACAATGGAGTCAGCAACCTCCTTGCAAAAAGGTGTATTTTAATCTCACAGAAGTGATGTACCACCTGGCCCATCGCTGTTCCTAACTGCACTATAGTGATAAAACACTTTAGTGCCGATACTGTACTGTAGCCAAGCCTGGCTGCTGGATGCACCTTGCCCGCCTTAGCCAATTTCCACAAAAAACTCAGTTGCCAAACCCAAGCCCTCCACCTCAAACTCCCTTGGATGAAACAGCAGGTATTTCTGCTATATTTATTCATAAAATACAGAAAAGAAGTTGACTGTTAAACAATGGAATATTTTTGCTTTGCTTTTTGGGGAAAAAAAAAACCAAACAGAAAAACAACAAACCACAAAAAAACCCAAACAGGAAATCTGTTCTGGACCAGAAGCAGTGACAGAAACCATGATCTGTGTCCAGGCCACCTGATTTCACTGAAATTACCTGGCAACCTACTCTGCCTTAGACAAACAGCACATGTTTAACAAGAGCTGGTGAAGGCTCGCCTATTGCTTCTAAGTACTCTTGTATTTAGACATGATATAATCAGCCAATTAGCCATTAAATTAAATCTATTTCCTAAGAAATATTTATTCCATTAAAGGCCATATATTTCAACATTCACAATCATATTCAAATATGTTCAAATTTTTAAGAAAGTAACAGGCAGAGACATGGTACTTACTTTTTATTTGCTTCTTAATGAATTTTGAATGGTCCAACCAGTGCTAAAAAAACAAAACCCACATTTAAAAGTAGTTCCATTTCAAGACTTTGTTGACAAAACAAACTAATTATAGTAAAATTTAACAGATAAAAACCTCCTAAAAGGAAATATTGCCATATTTATTTGCTAAACTTTTACACATTTGCGAAAGCATTTATTTGCACATTTAACAACTTGGCTTCTTTCATGAGTGAAAGCTGGATTTATAAAGGCATCAGTACTGCCAGGGAACCTTCACTCTTCCAGAGGGGAAATCCTCAAATCCACAGAGCAGTGGTATGTAAGGAAAATACTCTTTTGGCCCCAGGTTAAAATGTTGCCCAAGTGCCCCTGAGGGCAGCAGCCCAAACTCCTGGGTTTCATTCTCCTTTCAACTCCCCTGTTTGCAGTAGACCCTCCAGACCTTGTATGTTCCTGACTTCCACTGCCCCACTGTCAAGTGTTTTCAAGATAAAGATGAAGACTTAACCCCTTACTAAAGGCATCTGGGCAACATTGATGCATGCTCCCTTCCCCTTTTTAAACTAATGGCAAAAGTTCTTGACTAGATGCAACGATGATGACCAAAAAAATGTATGCTTCCCAAAAATGCTTATGCACTCTCTTGTCAGTGCAAGTTGCATCTACAGAAGCGTAGCAATAAACTCTCTGGTGTAAATTTAGCTTAAATTTTTGACTGTCTCTGTGTAGTGACCTACAGAAGACTGCACTCTCACATGAAGCAAGGCCACATAACTATTCTGTTGCACAAGGTAATAAAACAGCATTTGGACTTCTTTGAAATAAAATAAATATATACATAAAAGTGGAAAAAATTTAAAATAATAACCTAGGTACCATGCAATAAAATCTCAGAAGAAGCCTCTTCCTTTCTCCTTCTTAAAGCATTCACGCTTTCAGAAAAAGGAGAATCTCTGAATGACTACTTATCATTCCACTGATGTTGCACTACCATGGCTAAATAAATGTGAAAAATTATTTGTTGGATAGAATGTTGGTATTTATTTACTAAGTATGTCCTAAGCCAAGGCAAAAATTTATTTATCACAGATACAGAAGGGTATAGACCAAAAGTCCGACAACTTATGACCCTTGAGGTAAATAAATCTCACAAAAAAGGAGAGAAAGAGAGACTGAACAATTATTCTGAAGGCACTTTTATTTGCATGAGACTTGTTATACTCCCTTAGGTGAGGCTGCAAAAAATCCATCCTTACAATCTCTACCAGAGTAGAAATAATATATTATACCAGCTCATATAAATACATTCCTCGGAGTTGCAAGTAATTTATTCTGTTTCTACTTTATTCTCTTACGAAGAAGTACATCAGAAACCACAGCAGTTCACAGAAGCTTTGTGAAATTTCAGATTTTTGATAAGGAAGAAATATCAGCATTGAAACTTTGCTTTAACCGAAATTGTACAAGTCTGTACTTTCACACCTCCAGAGCAGATTAATTTTTTTTATGCTTCAAATACCTAGCTACAAAAAAGTCTTTCCCACATTTATTTCAGCTAAAGATAAACCACTCAGACAAATACACATTAAAAGTAAAGTTTAGCTTCATGTAAAATAAAAATAAACATGAACAACACCTATACCACAGGAAAAATCCTCCAATAACTTTTACCCATGGTTCATGTTAGTACCATATTCAGAAATTAGCACAGGACAACATGAACTACAGGAATTCCCAATCAAACAACAGCTGACAGTCCCAGTCTTGGAACATCGTGTTTTAAAACTGAAATAACAGCAAGTTTAATAACTGATTATTTGTAAGCGTAAATACTTCAAAGAAGGTTTAAAAATAACTAATAAGACTCTAGGAACTACTCACATAGACCATTAAATGAGACTATAGCCTAGACAGGAAACTATCTGTAGTCGTGCTCCAGGAGATAAAACACAGCAAACATTCAACTCATCTTTCTTCAGAAGTGAGAATGAGCTACTGTTATACCCCAATCCCACCTTGCACATCATTGCTGTGTGTGATGTGGCCACCACACAGATTACAGGATTATTGGCCCAGAGTTCCCTGGCCTGGAAGTTTTTATGCAGATTTGTGAATCAACATCAAATTAAGTCAGATATTTTGTGCTGAATTTCAACATTCCTTTGCCTCATAATGTCAGAAGGCTTCTTCACACTGCAACTCACATCAGCTTTCCCTCTGAGCTCAAAAAAAATTCCTAACATTCTAGTTAAAGGCAAAAGGTTTGGGCTTGGCTGCATACTGCTTGCTGATTCAAGAACAGGAAAGTGAAAACAATGAATTCTGAAGCCTCACTAGGAAGCTGAATAAAGCCAGAGAGAACACTTGCTTTCTCAGCACCCATGACTGTAGCTCTATCTTGTGCTCTGGCTGAACAACTACTCATCATTTTAGGATCTGAACTCAAAGAAATTTAGTATAGGACCAACACTTGACCACAGTCACTTCAACTACACAACGTCACATTTCCCATATTCAGCCTGGACTCAGAAGTATCAGTGCAGAACAAGGAGGAGGAAAGGGATTAATTGGTTTAGGACTGCGTTATGATAGGAAGACAGTGTCTAAGCTACTTTGCCCACAGTAAGGGAAGAAAAAAGCCCAAACCTGGTCAAAACTGCAGGTAATCAAAATTCTATGATTACAACACAATAAAATAAAGAGTTCAACAGGAAGTGACCAACGATGATCAAGTCCAACTGATCACATTATTAAGGGCATTGTCCATGAACACTAACAGCCTTGGGGCACTGACCACCTCTTTAGGAAGCCTCTTCTAGTGTTTGACGACCCTCTTAGCACAGAAATGCTTCCTAATGTCCAGTCTAAACTTCCCCTGGCTCAGCTTTGAATCATTCCCACACATCCTATCATTGGATCCCAGGGGGGAGAGACCAGCACCTCCCTCTCCACATCCCATTATCAGGACGCTCTATAGAGCAATGAGCTCCTTTAATTCTGTCAGGTAAACTGGGAGTTCAAATGCTGGATTAACTTCCATTTGTTCTTGTTCAATCCCAGTATAATTTCTTTGCTTTGCCAAACAAATAATACTTCCTATGGTATTAACTGGCATAAACCAGTAGTCACTGGTTGGGATTACTGTGCTGAAAACACACACCAATCGATTTCACACAAAATAAGCATCATTTTAAAAAAAGATTTCTTAAAATACCAGAAGTATGTATTTACCTCAGCATGCTCTCCTGTAGATCACTCACTTTATGTAACTGGAGAGGAAAAATTAAGCACCTCTTCTCAAAATATACCTGTATCAAGGTATCGTAGATACACTATAGCTACTGCAGCAGTTTATGTAAGGACTACAGTGACTGTCAAATGAAGACTGAAAGGAGGAGTACCACAGGTTGACACAAACCCATCACACACCTGAGCTTTGCAAATTCCACCACCTCTCTACTTGCTTCCTAAAAGAACGAAAAGTCCTTGTCTTGATCTACACAACCCTCAAAGGTGACCTGAAAAGGAAAAAAATTGTGTTTGACCCTTTTTGTTTGGCTTGCTTTGCTAGTCTAAAATGCATGAAGAATTTCTTGAATAGACTGTTTTCCCTTATGCTTACTTAGATACCTATCAGTGAGACAAAGCCCCTTCTTACTGGAAGTTTTATTTGCTCTCCGAAAAAAATTGCTTAAATGCTTTCTCACTCTTTACCTTGAGGTACAGGAGGCAGAAACTTGCTAAATGTTCAGGTTCAGAAAGATGTGCTAAACAAAAGCTTGAACCTCTAAACCCAAAAGTTAATTATCCCTTCAACTGTCTTCTTCCTGTCTTGATTTTCTAGGCACATGAATGCTATCAAGCTGCCATTACCCATGTGGTCTTCAAAAGCAGAGAGGATAAAACCATATGCAACACCTGGGAGAAAGGAATAACCAAAAGGAAGTCAATACAAAACCTATCCACCAAACCACAGTTTGGGAACTTCTCTACTTGTATACAGTTAGGGAGTAACAAAAGAGACAAAGACCTTTCTTCTTTTATTCTGAAGGTAATCTTTTAAATACTACTATGGTACTAAAAGAAAACCAAACAAGAATTGAGGTCATATAGAAACTCAAGGACTACAAGCATATACTTAAAAGTGGTATAAGCTCCCAAGAGTTCACAGCTTAAAACAATGAGAAGACTGTTCTTCACACTTCTTTCATCCATCCTTGAAAGTTATACTCCCCTTGAAAACGTAGATGCAAAGAAAAAAATGCTTTTAGATAAAATGCTCAGATAAAACTCAAGATTTAACAAACATCAGGGGTGATGTGGCTTAGTATTTCCCATAGGAAGCAGGGTGGTGGGATAAAGTGCACCTTTGTAGGGGCACTAATGACTGTGACAGAGAGAGTGAACTGGGACAGAAAGGCATTTCTAAACTAGCTGGAGAAATTATTTAAATACGGATTCTGCGAGATCAACACAGACAATTAAGGCCCTCCCAAATTACAGCTCAAGAGAGAGAGGAGCCTAGCTCCCACTGGGCTGCTGCACCAGGGTGGCAGAAGATTCTCAGAAGACCTCCAAGGTCCTTGGGGCTTGGAGGTGGGGGTTCGTCAGTCTGAGGACAAGCAGCCTACCCAAGGAGTGACTGAATATGAAGCCAGACCCTGCATGATGGTACACAATGAACAGCAATGAAACGAAGAAAGATATTAGAAGGACAGCTTTTGCTTTGGTGTGGTAGCTTGGTCTTGGCCACCAGGTTCCCACCAAAGCTGCTCTATCATTTCCCCTCCTCAACTGGACAGGGGGACTAAATACGGCAACAGGCTTGTGGGTCAAGATAAGGACAGGGAAATCACTCAGCAATCACCATCACAGGCAAAACAGACTCAAGCCAGGGAAATTAACTTATTACTATTCAAATTGAACCAGGATAATGACAAATAAGAATAAATTTTAACACATCTTCCCCCCACCTGTCCCTTCTTCCCAGGATCAACTTTGTTCCTGACTTTCCAACCTCCTGCCTCCAGTTAGCACATG